CGCAGGACGCGGCCATGGAGCATGTGGCGGGCTATGCCCTGTGCCTGGACATGACGGCCCGCGACACGCAGGAGGAGTGCAAGAAGAAGGGGCTGCCCTGGACCTTGGCCAAAGGGTTCGGCTCGTCCTGCCCCGTCAGTGACTTCGTGCCCAAGGAGAAGATCCCTGACCCGCACAAGCTGCAGATCTGGCTGAAGGTGAACGGGAAGCTGAGGCAGGAGGGGGACACCTCCTCCATGATCTTCTCCATCCCTTACCTGATCAGCTACATCAGCCACATCTTCACCTTGGAAGAAGGGGACTTGATTCTCACGGGCTCTCCCAAAGGAGTCGGCTCCGTGGAGGCCAACGATGAGATCGAGGCGGGGATCAGGGACGTGGTGTCCATGAGGTTCAAGGTGGAGCAGCAGACACGGGGATCCTGATGCACACATCCAGCCCGGAGCCTGCCTGGCACGGGGACAGCTGTGACACCAACACTCCCACGGCCCCAGGCACCGAGGGACTGCCACACGGAAACCAGGAGCCCAAAATGCGTTGGACTGACACAACCCCAGTTCCATGGAGGCTTCAGCAATCCTAGAGTCCAGCCCAGCCTGGAGCAGGCAGAGCCCAGAAGCTCCAGATTCCAAAATTCCAAAACCATACCTGGGAACTGGTGATGGAGACACTGGGGAGGGGAATGGGGCTGGCTGTCCCTTCTGCATGTGCTTCTCTTCTGCTGATACTTTGAGTTTTGCCTTAAAATAAAAACTACTGATCAAAACGATTCAAATGATGATGTAGGAGCTAAAGCTCAGCCATGCTGCAGGAGGTCAGAGGTGTATGTGGAGATGTGCAACCCTAAATCAAGAACTGCAGCTTCACAAAATGTTTCCTCTACAAGAGAAAGATGTTTGATTTTTTGGATTAGTTTAGTGATTCCTCCCTGCTTTTTTCAAACATACAAATTAAAGGAGGATGGTTTCTCTTCCCACTCCAAGGGGTAAAGGCAGCAGGAAGTGTGCCAGATGTTTGGCAGATTGGTTTTTTTCCTGAACTGTGTTTTAAATATGTTCTAAAAGTGAAATAATGCAAAAAGATGAAGAATAAAGAAACATGGCTAAAGATCACCACCAAACTTGTCTTTTGACTGATTTCAATTTTTAGTAAAACTGTAACTGCAGCAGTTGGAGTTTTAAGTATTTCCAGCTGCTAAAAGCCATGCTGGGTAACTTTCCCCAGTTCCCAACTCCAGCTGATCCAGCACTCCCCACCAGTTTGCATGACAGCGAGTTCTCTTTCAATTCAACAGAGCAAGTTGTAAAATATAATTTAAAAAATCCTCCCCATGCAAACATCAAAACTTAGATTTTCAAAGTTTGCACAGAACTGGCTCATTTCTAGCAAAAGCAGATGGATTAAAAAAAAAACTTACATAAATGCAAAGCACCAAAGTTAAACACTTCCATTTATCAGAGCTGGATCTCAACAGCTGCTAGGAAAAGCTTTGGTTTTAAAAGTGGGGAAGTTTTACAGAGAAAAATCCTGTCTCCCAAAGAGAAACAGCTCTGTGAAAGCAGCACGGTCCAGGGTGCTGCACACCACACTGAGAGAAGAAATTAAAGAATTTCTGTAGAATTTCAGAATTAAAATAGGGTGAACAGTTCTGGAAGAGGAAGGATGGAATGAAGGTGTCTGTACTGTTTAAATTTCCTCCTGCCTGTCAAACATTCCCATCTCTGGCAATAACAGCAGGGCATCATTTGCAGTTTGGTCTCCAGCCCCTGGTACTGACAGGGTTGGGATTAAGTTATTGGAAACATTCCCTTCAGAATGGGAATTGTTATGGCTGGAAAATGTTGAGTTGTTTATTGCTACAAGAGGGATGCCATGACCCAAGGCTGGCAGCGTTTTTGGGGTCTTTTACTCCCACCCATGAGTCAGGGATGCAATCTGGGATTGCTTGTCAGGATTTCCTGTTTCTCTGGGGGTTTTCTCTGTGCCACGTTGCTTTGAGGTGCACAACAAACACAGGCAGTGTTTCAAGGGGGGTTTTATTTAACACAAAAGCAGCAAAGCAGTTAAAACCACAGAAGTTCAACAGATCTCTTTTTGACCTATTTGTTATTTCTGATTTTGTCAAAGATCTCAGCTGAGCGAGGAAACCTTCCAGGCCCCTTGAAAGGGGTTGAATTTGGTAGAATTACCTTTTAAGCTGAGGCCCAAGTACACTTTTTTAAAGTACAATCACCCAAAAATATGAACTCAGAAGCCCACTTGGAGGTATTGTAACAAGCACTCCTTCTTTACAATCAGAACAGACTTGGCAAAATCCAACAACAGCATCCAACAACAATTCCATCTCTAACAGCAGAGTGAAGGAAGCCTTTCCCAACATTTATTAATAATTCCACTCTCTTCCCAACAAGCTCTGACTTGCCTCTACAGGATCCGCCAGTCTGCAGGAAAGAAGATTCACTTTTAATCCTGTTCTCCAATTGGGTGACAAAGTAACCTGGAAAAATAATTAAGGATCTTTGTTATCACAGCACATTGGCAGAGATTATTTTGAGATGTCACACAACATGTGTGACAGATCTGTTTGCATTATTTCCTGTGTGAGTACACATTTATGCCATGTGCCTGTCACTGCTGAAGTCAAACATTTTCATTCTGTCCTGGAAACAGGGACAGAGAAAGGGGAGATGGGATAGTAAGAAGAGTTTTTCCAAAAAGGACAAGTTTAAAAGTGAAAAACTGTTTTGAATTAAACATTTAATACTAACTTTGAAGTAAATCTTGCTTCGTTCCAAGAGAAGTTGCCATTTCAGTGCAGTCTTCTGGTTTTCTTCCAGCATGAGGAATTCATGGACCTGTTAACAGGACACCACAGAATACTTCAGCAGGTAGTTAAAACATCTCCACAACAGAATGATGATGGAAAGAACATTTTACATATTTTTATACATTTCTAAGCTGTATTTTTCTATTTTAACATAGTGCTTGGTGTGATATGTGTACCAAGACAGTCTCATTAACAAATTGCAGGGTGTTTGAAAATCAGGGATTTCCAACCACGTTCTCAGAAGAGCAGTGTTCTGAACTGGCTTCACACTTACACTGAACACAATTCCTGCTGGCATCTGCTGGCTTCCAAATTTTACCTTGTCAAACAGCTCTGTCCATCCATCCATCCATGGATTCCATCCATCCATCATCCATCCATCCATCATCCATCCATCCATCCATCATCCATCCATCCATCCATCCATCATCCATCCATCCATCCATCCATCCATCATCCATCCATCCATCCATCCATCCATCATCCATCCATCCATCCATTCCCATCAGGCTCCTCAGCTGAGCTCAGGAGGAACAGCCCAATCCCCCCTTACTGTGCAGCCCAGGCTTTCCTCAGCGACACAGTCGGACAGGTAGCAGGAGCGCAGGGTGCCCGTGTGATCTGTCACATCCACCAGGATGTCAAAGCTGGCAAAGGTGGACTTGGCCTCTGGAGAGACATCACTGCAGAAGGTGCAGGTGTTTGATGCTTCATTCACAATGAACCGGCAGATTGAGCTGAAACACAAGGAGAGAATTCATGCAGCTATGCAATTTATTCTTCCTGAAACGTTTTTCTAGACTGAGACTTCCCAAGAGATTTTGTACTTTAAAAAAAAAGTTTTTATCTCCTAAACTCTTGAGTCTGTCTGAGACAAAGTGATCTCTTTCACTCTTGGACCATAAAGAGCCTTCACAGAGCCCACAACAGAAACCCACATGGCATCCTCCAGAGGAGTTTTATTTCTTCTCTGGGATGGGACTAAAATACTGCTCCATCTCATTTGGGTGTGGGGAAGAGGGACAAGCAGTTTTTAGCACACATTCCAAGCAGGCAGTTGCTCACCATCTGTTGCGCAGGACTCTGGACACGTTCTCGTCAATGTCCAGGGTGGAAATGTAGCCATAAATAATTCCATGGAGAGGCTCCAGCTTCCCATCACTCTGCAGAGCTTTTTCTTTCAGCTGTTCCACTGTGTAGACATCCACTACAGCCTCCACTACAAGTTTAAAAGACATGTTAAGGGTGTCTGAGCCAGAAATTACTCAAAGAGCAATGGCCAAAATGGAACTTAAGGCAATAAAAAGGAGATTTAAAGCAGCAGAAAAGCATTCCCCCAAAAAAAAGTAAAACAAAAGGGAACTCAGATCAGGAATATATCTATTATTTAATCTTTGTATCCTCCAAAAGGAGTTTTTGACAAAAGCTTTTCCCCTCACTTTTCCATACTCTCTGGACAGAAAGAGCACACCAGACAGGCTGCAGCTGGCACAGTCAGCTGGAGACACATAAAATAAAGGACAGCCCCAAGAAACCATCCAAACTTTATATATTCAGCCAGGCTGGACCTGAGTTTTGTTCCTCTGAGAACACAGAGCAGGAATTATTTCAGCTGCACTATGAAAAGACACTGCAGGTAAATAAAATCAAACTCTTACAGTTAATGGTTTCATTTGCCAGCTCTTTCACTGGGCTGGGCAGAGCTCCTGCCTGGGCGCTCTCTTTGATGAAGCTGAAGAGAACATTTGCTTCTGCTGTTTCTGAGGATGCATTTTTAAAAGTTATCAGTATATGCTGTATGTAAAAATCACAACATTTTTATATTTTACAACTTTTTATTCTGGTAACACAAACATGCTGGAATTAGCCAAGACTTGCTTTTCTCTTTTTTATTTTAACTGTTAGTCCTGCATGGAATAAACCTATGAAGGAAAAGGAAAAGAAGAGAAAGGGAAAGGGAAGGGGAAAGGGAAAGGGAAAAGAGTAGAAGCCAAAGGAACTGGTCATCATGTAGCAGACAAAAAGCAGAGAGCTCTGTGAGAAGCAGGCAGAAGAAATCACAGTTCCAATAGATTAATTAATGCATTCTAGCCTAGAATAATTACTAAAAGCAAAGGAATACTTGAGCAGCTCTTACCTGGGTTAGTTGTAATGATGGTTTTGGATATCACAGTTGCAGTCATGCAGTTCCTAAATTTGTCAAAGTTGATTCTGACATCTGATGCAAATATAACTGTGCACAAAAACACCCCCATGTTACTGGAGAATAAATGTCACACAAAGAACTACAGTAAAACAATAAACCAGACTGTTTTACCTGTTTCTTGGGGGACCCAACTCTGTGCCAGCTGGATGGATTCATTATCCCAGCTAAATTAAACAAAAATGAATGCATCAAAAGTGGATGGACATTTATTTTTGAAACAGTACTCAAACTGCTTAGTGACTAAAACTAAATAAATAATAAAATAAATAATATTTCTTTGTTATATATTAATATTATATTATTAATATAATATTAATTAACTAAATAAATAAATTAAATAATGTAGTTGTAATAAAATTGCCCAAAGGGGACACGACTCCTTTGTGGCACTGAAATTCCATGAGCCTGTTTTATCCCAAACAGGATAAAATAAAGATGGGTTTAAATGCAGAATATAGCTGGGGGAAATGCTGTATTCCAGCTTTTATCAAAGTCATTTCTAACTAAAGCAAATCCCATTTAAAGGAGCTGTTTGTGCTCAGATCCCCAGGCCAGATGTTCAGCCACTTCCAACACTGGGATCTTTGTGGCTGGGGATGATGAGACTGGAGTGAGGTCAGAGTATCCCTCAAAAATGGTAATTTCATGCTCTCGTGATAAAATCACATTCAGCTCCTCCTAAATTTGGCTGGCAAGAGCACAGCCAAAGCACAGATTTGTTCTGGTGGGTTTTCTTCTTAATCCTTGGAAAAAGATTTAAGATATTTCCTCTTATCCAATATTGCTCAGCCACCTCTTCACTGCTGGGCCCTGAAATACCCTGACAGTGCCCAAGTCCCAGCCCTGAGAGAGAACTGATGGAGGAGCTGCTCCAAATTAACCCTGGGCTGGAAGGGTTCACCCCTGAGATGCTTCTTTTGGGTTTGTGGCTATGAATTGTGTTAAACATCCCATGATAAAGATCCCTGGTGATAACAGCTTACAGTGCAGGGCTGCCTGCCTACATCCCCTGAGGGAGCAAAGGTCACTGAAGTCATTTTTTAACCACCAAACAATCTCAGGGCAAGGGAATAATATCCACACCCCCACATGTCCCTGCACATGGAAAAGCCACAAGTTTATTGAACAAACTCTGGGCAAAATGCAAAGGTTCCTCTGTGAACAAGGCACTGCTTACAGCAGGGATGGGGTGGGTGGAGTCGTGTTTGTAAACAAGACAGAGCTTGGAAATACAGCCAAAGCTGTATCAAAATGTTTCTGCATTATTTTAAATATTTAAAAACTATTTCCACCTATTTCCACTCCACTTGCAATTCTGCTTGGCTTTAAAAATGGATCATGCTCTTCATTTTCCTGCCTTCCTGTTTGTGGAAGAGACACAACAGCCTTTGCAGCTGGTTTTAAATGCCATTTCCTGCATTAGCTCAAATGTCCACATGAAAAAAAATGAATTATTTGGAACTGAGCTTCATTTTGCCATCCATGAGCCAGCAGGCTGTCAGCAAGCCATAAAACTACACAAGATATATAAGACCACTCTAATGAATCTCTTTTTTAAGTCTCTTTTCAGTGTACACTGCTGCTTCATCTCAGTTGCCTCCTAAATAACAATATATTTAAATTAAAAGACAGGCTTATAGCTAATTAGTGTGTCTTATAGCTAATTGTTCTACCTGTGTTGGAATTATTTTGTGCTTTTTAGTGAATTAAAGACCATTTTACCATACTATTGGGAAAGACCTCTCTGTTTCATCATACAGCTTGACTTCACACCTCTGGCCTTTCCTTTTGTCTGAAGTCATGAAATATTTGGGCTCCCCAACCTTTAAGAAGAAAGAGAAGAAGTCATTTGTCCTCTCTTCAGTATTTAGGAGAATAAAACTCATAACCTAGGAAATAAAAGGGTTAGAAAAGGGAAGGCTATAGACTACTAAAAATGGCATCACTTAATTTTTTCCTTTCATTTTGTTGGTAAAAATCTCATCAAAAGGTGTTTGTGGTTATCATCACTCAGGTGCCAGGCTGAACAAACAGAGTCCTGACCACTGTGAGGCCCAAAATCCACATTTACAGATTCACAGTGAAGTTACTGGTGTCAGAGCAGAGAAATGCTGCTCACTCACTGCCATCACAGCCCAAAATCCACATTTACACAGATTTACAGTGAAGTTACTGGTGTTAGAGTCCACAAATGCTCCTCACTCACTGCCATCACAGCCAAAAATCCACATTTACAGATCAGAGCCCAGAAATGCTCCTCACTCACTGCCATCACAGCTGCCAGCACGTTGAGGACTCTCCCATGGAGGCTTTGTCCATTTGCCACGATGTCCCCCAGGGAATAATAATCCTGAGGGTCCTTGACAGGCAGGTGCAGCAGAGCCAGGAGCCTGGTGTCTGTATCGTAGCAGGAAGAGGTTTTAACCACAGAGTGGTTTTCACTGAGCAATAATTTGTAGCCACTAGAACAGAACAAATCCCATGGATCAGCACTGCACTCACTGAGGTTTATCAACAGTGTAAAATGTTAATTCTATTCATATGGAAAAGCAACTTTATTCCATTAGTTTTTCCTAAAGGTACAAAAAATTCTTGTTGATTTTACTCAAAGAATGAAATTTACTCTGTTTAGTAACAAAGAGCATTATTGCTTTATGGCCTTCTATTTATGAAATATATTCTCCTTTGAGATTTAACCAGACATTGTTGAGCACAGGAGGAAGGTACAGCTACACAAGAAGAAAACACCAAATATTTCTACCAATTTCATGTGGCTGCAAATTAAAACAAGTATTAACTTTGATCTTTCTAGAAAGAACTACCACTCCATGCTTTAAATTTACCTAGGAGTTACAGGGTTGAATTTTTCTTCTCTTTCTGCTTCCTTTGACTGAATTAAAGGATTTTCAATTGTAACTAAAATAAAGCATTGATAAGTAATGTTAGAAATTGATTATAGGTACAATTATAGATATTTTTGTTAGTACACTCTGCAAGCTCACAAGTTTTACCAAAACAACCACGGGCAGGAAAATCTTTCTATGAATTTAAAAAGATAAAAGCACATCCTGTGAATAAATACAGGATTTTTGTTGTGGTTTTATCAGCAATCACAGTCATATCTGTAACTGAGGGAAGACAAACACCAAACTGCTTTACAGCTTATTTTTCATCATTTTTAAGACCTCAGCATAATGTAAGATTTGACATTGATTAACTGCAGGCCAGTTCTGAGCTGCTGCACTCAGTGGGTTTCTTTTGTTGACATATTTACTGGGCTTGAGTTGAAATCCTTGGAATCTTGTTCCTTTCCTCTTTATACTGAACAGAACTGAACAATTTGTTTCCAATTAGGCTGTGAGTCCTCAGAGCACAACACAGCAAAGCCACCAGCACAACCCTGATTTCCATGCAAACAAGTGAGAATAAATAAAATAAATAAACTCACCACAGTCACCAACCCTGAAGCTTTCTGAGAGGGATCTGATGTATTCTTCTCTGCCCCACGACTGGACATTAATGAAACAAGTTGGGGAATCACGAATGGTAAAATTGAAGGTGTATCTTTCAGTGCCAATGTCTGCAAAAATAAACAGGCCTGTAGCAATTCCTCAGCACAGCATGATTTCTAACTAGAATATGTGTATAAAAACTCCTATTTTGAGGTTTTCCTGGATTTTGGCAAGGATTTCCTTGCTGGAGGCCAGCAGGTGGTGCAGGAACACGCTGGTGTTTTTGGGAATGCAATTCCTGCTGTGGTACCTGTCCACCCTGTGCTTCACTTTGGGCAGGGTATGAACTCCCAGATCAAACAGGGGAGAAGTGCAGGAGCTGTGGGAGATGACAGCCAGGCCTGGCAAACACACAAACACACAGACACACAAACACAGAAACACACAAACACACAAACACACAAACACACACACAAACACACAAACACACAGACACACAGACACACAAACACACAGACACACAGACACACAGACACACAAACACACAAACACACAGACACACAGACACACAGACAAACACACACACAAACACACACACAAACACACAGACACACAAACAAACACACAAACACACAGACACACAGACACACAAACACACAAACACACAAACACACAAACACACAAACACACAAACACACAAACAGGGCTCGTTTGTACACACATCCCCACTTGTGTAGGAGCTGGGCTGACCCCATGGGTGATGAGGCCCCGCTGATGTTTAACTGAATAATGAATTTATTCAGGATATCGGTGCCCTGTCTCATACAGGTAACTTATAAAGATTTCCAGGGATCACAGCATGGTGAAATAGATTATTGAATTATCAAGGAAAACTCCAGGGATCCCCTGAGTGCAGCTCCATGGAGCACACACACCTCACCTGCAGACTCTGCACTGGTGCCACTCATTTTGGGTGACTGCAATGACCTTCTCCTAAAATGTCACCTCTCCAGCAGCTCAGCAGGAGCCAGTGGCAGCAGAACAACTGAGCCCTTCTCCTGGAGCTGGAATGGCTCCCCAGGGCTGGAGGTGCTTCCTGACAGCGCCTGTACCAACCCTGACTGTAAATTTGTTATTTCAATTTCCAATTAATGCTGTATTAACAACATACAACTCCCGTTTTGTCCCAGATGAGGCTGTTGCTGCTCAGGCCAGAAATTACAAGATATGTCTTCAACATTGCTGTTTTAAGAGAGAACAAATATGAAGGCACCAGCTCCATTCCAGTATTTATAGAGTGGGTTCATATTGGTTCCATCTTCAGAGCACCAAACATTTCCATGGCAGAGCTTTTCCAATTTCTAATTGATAAGAAAAAACAATGCTGCTCTTTCACCTTGTTCTCAAACAGACACCATTTTTTTGGGGGTGTGTTTTTATTCTATCCATTTTACACTGAGAAATCTATTTATCATTTAAATCTTGATTTCAGCCATCTCTGCCAAATTACACCATTGAAGAAAATGAAAGAAAAAGTTTAAAGGGACTGTACTTTTTCGGTCTGGAAAGCTTCTGACATCTGTTTTCCCAATAACCACCCCGATTACATTCTGAAAAATAAAAAGATTATAGAGTACATGTATTAAACCCAGATGTAGATGATGAATTAGATTTCATGGAATTATACTCTGCTGATGATAATAAACATATTTCTGACTGGTAATCATTTTAATCTATTTATTCCACAGAACCCTATGAGCTAAAGAGTAAAACATAAACACACAAGTTTACTTTAGGAAAAAAAATTGTGACTAATAAAAATATTAAAATAAATACATCTGTTTCTATTTGGGGAGAAAATGGGAGGACAAAAGTTCACCCCAAACCTTCACGATTTTGGCTGTTCTACAGCAATCTCTCCTCAGGTAAGCAGCAGTGTTGTTGTTTCATGCTCTCTGCACAGGTCTCAGATCTCCTCAAATGCTCCATGGAAAGTCTGGACAGGATTTATTTTACAGTGAAGTGTCCGAGGTTTTCCTGGCTGTCAGCACCATGAGCCACACGTGTGCACCCACAGCTTATCCTGGCCTCAGCCAAGCAACCTAAATTTCTACAGGTGCCTCTCCCTTGTTATCTTTCAACAGGGGAGCTGAGGAAAGGAGCTTTTCTGTTGATTCAGACCAAAATCAGTTTTATCCTGCTTTGCTAAACCTGTGTTTATTATGTAAAAACATCCTGTTCTGAATTGCCAAGCACAGCTACAGGGAGCAAACACACACGGGTAGATAGGGATGTATTAGCTAACTTTCTATAATATAATATTTTGTGGGTGGTGGTTTTTGTTTTTTAGGTGGTCCTTGGTGCCAGAGAAGAGTTTTTCAGTGCTCATTTGGGATTTAAGATGTCAGCAAAGAAAGTCAGAGTGGGACAAGGGCTGGAAGTGCAATACTGCCAGGATCCTTCAAAACATGAAGCATCCTGCATCAGTTCCACTTCACAGAATCCTGGAATGGTTTGGGTTGGAGGGACCTTAAAGCCCCTCCAGTGGCACCCCTGCCCTGGGCAGGGTCACCTCCCACCGTCCCAGGCTGCTCCAAGCCCTGTCCAGCCTGGCTTTGGACCCTCCCGGGGATTTGGCAACCTCGGCTCCTTCACACGAGCCCTTCTCGCAGTCCTGACCGTCCCATTCCAGCAGAATTCCGGAGCCAGGTGGGAAGGGCAGGGTTTCAACTCAAAAACCCACCCCGGATTCATTCTGTGCGCGTTCACAAAACAGCGTGACCTGCCTGACTTCACTGTCACGATATTGACACGGGCTCAAAAATCAGCTCTCGGATTTCCTTGGAATCGCTAGAGGGAGCACGGGAACTGCCTTATCCTGCAGGGATGGAAACTCAGGAAGAGGCCACTTGTGTCCAGCAGTTTAATATTCCCCTTCCAGACTGAATGCTTTCTGTCCACTGCATGCAGTGAGCCCGAACAGGATTTTGTTTTTCTACTTTGGGTTTTGCTTCTTCATTTTTATTTATTTTTTTTTTTTAAATCTATTAAATCAGAGTGCAATATTCCCTGTATCTCACCACCAAATGTCAAAAGAACTGACATTTAGAATGAGTGCCTGCAGAAATTAGGCTGATTGTGGCTAATTTCTGATGCAAATATCCAATTTCCCAAAGAAATCTGCCCCAGCTCTGTTCACCTCTGGGTGAAAGCTTTTAACTGGGTTAGTGGATCATTATTTGAGAGGAACTGTGAATGACAGGTTAAATTAGCATTGCTGAAGATCAGTTTGGATCAATATGGCTCCAAGGGAATAGAAAACTCTTAGATCATCCATTTTCTGTGATGCCTCTTTCATTGGTTTGAAGTATATGAGGAAAAAAAATCGTGTCATCCCAAATAAAAAGTGGGAATGGGAAAATTCCATGTTTTCACTGTTTCCAGGAACATCAGGACTTCCCTGGGGCAGGGGAGGGGGGGGATTCTGCCTCTCTGCTCAGGTGAGACCCCACCTGCAGAGCTGCCTCCAGCCCTGGGCTCCCAGCACAGGAAGGTCCTGGAGCTGTTGGGGTGAGTCCAGAAAAAGCTCCAGGATGATTGGGAAGGCTGAAAGAATTGGGATTGCTCATCCTGGAAAAAAAGAAGCTTTGGGGTGACCCGTGGCCTTCCAGTGGCTGAAGGAGCTGACAAGAAACATGGAGAGAGTCTCTTTAGAAGGGATGGAGTGACTGGACAAGGGGCAATGGGTTCAGACTGCAAAAGAGTGGGTTTAGGATACTGGGGAGAAATCCTTCCCTGGGAGGTTGGGAGGCCCTGGCACAGGGTGCCCAGAGCAGCTGGGGCTGCCCCTGGATCCCTGGCAGTGTCCCAGGCCAGGCTGGACAGAGCTTGGATCACCCTGGGACAGTGGAAGGTGTCTCTGCCATGGCAGGGCTGGCACTGGATGGATTAAGCTCCCTTCCAACCCAGTCTGTGATTCTATACAAATCCATTTTTTATCCTAAAGAGATAGAACCAACCCTGCCATGGAACTGTGAGATTTTTTTTCCCCCTTTCCATAGCGTGCCGTGAGAGACTGCTGAGGTCACAGATGATTGTGGCTGCATAATGCTGACTCTGTAATGTCTTTAATAATGTCTTCATTAATTCAGCATCCATTTAAAGTGCCACAAAGGAGCCTCTGATACATTGAATTGTCCGGTCAATATCTGTGCCTGTGGTACCCACAGGCTGTGGACAACAACAGCATCAATTTTCATTTTGCTGCTTTGCACACAAAGAAGGGAAGGTCCTTTCTACCCAAACAATTGCACTAATGCTATCAGTACCTAAATACACATCAATTACATAATTTTGCAGTAATATAAGACAGTCAGATACAATTTCATCTGGGGACAAAAGGACCATGGCTGTGAGACTTACAGGACGAGCGAGGTTTGGATGCAGATCTGAAAGTGCAACAAAGTCCCGTGCTGAACGAGAATGAGCCATTCTTTATCTGAAACTTGAGGAAACTGACTTAGATTTTGTAAAAATCCAAACAAATCACTTAAGACCATTCACAGTGAGAATAACAAGTTATTTTTTAACATAAATGTTTTGACCTAATAGCATCTGTTTTCAATAAGAGGCATTTCAAGCCATCTGAAGTAGACAATTCTTTATTGTTTGGATTTGGCGATGGAAGTTATGAATTTTACTGTGACAGATTTACCTAAGCTTCTCAAATAAAGGCCTGTAATTTTTATTTATTATTCATCATTAAATGACTCCATTAGCACCAGGCTCTGAAAAATATTTACCTTCCTTCTCTCTGGGAAGCCCAACTGAATTTAATGAGGCAGCTCATATATAAAAGGCAATTTATATGTGAGGAAAGAGAAGTGTTGCGTGTAAGCACCTTTAATTGAGGTTTTGGACTAAATATTAAACTACTTTAAAGTGTGAGTTTATTCCTCCCTCAAAACAGAAAAGTTCTGAATTTATTAAAATAAGATTTATGAAAACCAGTTCTTTTCAGGCTGCCAACATGGCATTTACTGCCCAGCCCTGAGAGTACCTAGGTTCAACCTAGAGATGCCAAAGTGGAGCCATGGGTGCTTTGTTAGACCCTCTGAATGCCTCTTATTATTTCATGGGTTCCTTAGAGACATTTAAATACTTAACAGATAGTTGTCAGATTCTATTTTTTGTTGTAAAAGGAACCATCTCATTGTCCAAATCTTAATAACCATTAATAGGAGAGAGCTGCTGACATTTTTCAGAGGATGCCTGTTCAAGCTTTAGAACGAAATCCTGAATGCCTTTCACAGTCTTTGTACCTGGAACCTTGTGTGAGAATTGTTAACCACTTCAGCAGGCATTAGGATAAAGGTCTGTTGAACTAGAGGACAAATAAACCTACATTTTAAAGAAAAATAAGCAGTTATCTGAGAAGCAAGTGATTTTCCTAAAAGAGCATTTCAAACTACATTCTCACAGAGAGACAGCCCAAATTTGCCTTACAGAAACCACTGAACAATGGGGCCCTCAAACCTGTTCACATCCCATTAGATGGAAGAATTTATGTTTCCTTCTGCGGGAAAGTCACCTCAGCATCCCTCCAAGGCAGGGTAATATTCTCACCTCAGAAGAAGTTAAATACTGTTACCTGCTGTACCTCACAGCAGCTGGGTCGTGTCAAAGGAACCAGCACTGGAACACCTGTATCAGAGGAAGATTAAAATGGTAATTTAGGATTTTAAATACTCTGGGTTCTGAGAGCTGGAGCAGAGCTGCCCCACTCAGGAGCCCCTCAACCTCCTCGGGTGCTGCTCAACCGCCCCTCAGCCCATCATGGACCCCTCAGCCCTCCTCATACACCCTCCATTCCCCTCAGGTGTCCCTCACATACCTTTCAACCTCCTTCTGGACCCATCACATACCCTTCAACCTCCTCCTGGACTCCTCAGCCCCTCAGGTGTCCTTCACAAACCCTTCAACCTCCTTCTGGACACTTCAGCCCCTCAGGTGTCCCTCACAAACCTCCTCCTGGACCCATCACAAACCCTTCAATCTCCTCCTGGACTCCTCAGCCCTTCAGGTCTCCCTCACAAAACCTTCAATCTCCTCCTGGACTCCTCACAAACCCTTCAACCTCCTCCTGGACTCTTCAGCTCCTCAGGTGTCCCTCACAAACCCTTCAATCTCCTCCTGGACTCTTCAGCCCCTCAAGCCCCTCACAAACCTCAGTTCCCGAAGGAGACAAAATGGCGCCGGCGCAGTGGCGGGAAAAGGGCTCCGCGCCCCGTCCTCCCTCAGGGCCTGCACAGGCTGAGGGGAGACGTTCTCCCATCCCAGCCAGGATCTCCAGCAGGCCTGGAGTCCCTGGGCTTGACGAGGTAACAAAGGGTTAGACGGGATTTTGGGGTGGAATTGTTCCCTGGGAGGGTGGGCAGGCCCTGGCACAGATTCCCAGAGAAGCTGTGGCTGCCCCGGATCCCTGGCAGTGCCCAAGGCCAGGCTGGAGCTCCATGACAGTGGAACGTGTCCCTGCCCATGGAGCTGGATGATTTTTAAGGTCCCTCCCAACCCAAACAATGCTGTGATTCCATGACTTACCAGATCAGGAATTTAAAGACAGGTTCATTCTAAAAGTATAAACACACAATGCACCGGCAAGACAAAGCAAATTGAGGAAATCTCTGGAGAAACCATTCCCCACTTCCTTATTTTTTTTCTGTTGGCTATAAGGGAAAAAAAGTCGCAGCCTGTATTTTATCAATTAATCAAAATTTCTGGTTTAAAGATATTATTTGTATTGATCCGCACCCAATAATCCTATATTTTTACCAGCAGAAGGCTGGCTTGAGCCATTTTCTTCATTTATACTGAATATAAAATTATATTTTATAAAATCAATATCCTTCACTTCTGCATCATAAAAAACTTTACTCCTGATGAGTAATTTTATAACCCCAAGGTCATGGATATTCGAAGTTTTTAGCGTAGCCTGACAAATTCTCTGTGTTGACTCTGTATTACAGGATCTTTCATGTCTTCAATTAAACAGCTGAAAATGGATCCCACCTGTGCTTTTGTATTTATTGTGTCACTAAAATCCGTGATAATTATCCCGTGCTGATGACAAACAGGATGCCAGGGAACTGACAGCCTGGGTGGTTTTCTTTTTCTTTTTAGGTCACTTTTTATACAGTATGATCCATGGATCTAACTTTGTTTCGTAGGCTTGATGTCTCCACTAAATGGAATATGGCATTTTTTTCTGTCTGTTCTGTTGTTTTCATTATCTCAAGCTAATGAACAAGCAGAAGATAATGAGCCTGCTGATAGGATCCTAATCGAATGGGAAGGAGAACCTGGATACTGGCTGGGAAATGCTGGCAAAGGTACAACTCACATTCTTACAGCCATGACTGCAATGTAAAACAGGGGAAAATAAAAAATCCCTGGAATGAGACCTGTGTCCACTGCTGCAGAAGGTGACAAATCAGAACTCCAGCCCAGGGGCTTGCAGGGGTTGAGCTGGTCCAGTATCTCAGCAAGGTTCTGGTGGGACACAAGCACCTGCTGCAGCAGAGCCTTGCAGAACCCATCTTGGGATGGGTTCTTGGATCTTGGGCATGGGTAGGTCCCCTCTTCCAGTGGGTTTTGTCCAGTTGGAGCTGCTTTTCTCCCACAGGCACAAAGGACAGGTGAAACCCGACTCTGCCGTGTCCCCTCCAGGCCTTTGTTCCATTTCAAAGCCACCAGAACAAGGGTGCTGTTGTGTCTCTCCTCGCCTCCCCATAATCACCGGGAAAGGTTCGCTTTGTGGTCCGCTTCCATTCCTATTTTCAATGTACATTTGGAGGGGGAAAAAGAGCTGCTTTTTACTTTCCCAGGACAGCTGCTGCTGGGAAGACGTTATCAGGGCCATCGTGACAGGATGCACAAAGGCAGGGGACAAAGCGGGACCGCGGCTCTTTCCGTCTGAGATGTCTGATTAGATGCTGAATTTGTGACTCGCAGCTACTGAGCCGAGGACTCTTTGATGGGCGTACCTGTCTCAGGTGACACTGTGAATTCTGCCATTCATACAGCACATGGCACCTCAGGGACAGCCAGGGACTTCTGTGCTTACTGCAAACAAGTAACACATTTTTTTGTGTGTTTATATCCAACAAATGTCTAATCTGCCTTTATCCCGCTGGTTTTTGATGCCAGCTGATTCTCCCAGTCAGGAATTCTTAATACAAGCACTGGAGAGCATCTGCAGAAACAAATGTTACTCAGCTTGTATCCTGCTTTCCTCCTCAGCTGACCTCAAAGCGGTCTCAAAAAGAAATCAGCATCGTTATCTCCCTTTGACAACTGGGAAAACAGAGGTGAGAGAAAGGCCAGAAGAGGTTTCCTAAAATCCACGTGCCACGCAGAACCAGCTCCCGCGGCAGAGCAAGAGTGTTAATTCAGTGTTTTTCTCATCTAGTGCTTGATCCCTGAAAGCTCGGAGTGATTTTAACTCTGCAGCATTTCAGCGGCACTTGCCACTCTGCCGATTGAGCCTGTGATTGGCAGAGCCTTCCCATACACGGCTGCAAATTGCCCAGTCCCTGCTAATTAGGCCTCTATTCGTGAATAGATTTATTTAAATTACGCTCATTGGCATGGTCAAGGAGTGCAAATGCCATTTCATAATTCACTTTAGCGATTTGTTAAGTGACCATCAGTATACTTTGCAGTTCAGGGGAAGAAAGTCCAGCACTAGCAGGGACATTTCAGAAATCATTTCCAAAACCAGTGCAATATAAAAATATTTGCTCTGTGCATTTTCCGCTGCCCGCAGCGTTTACTGAGAGGGCTCATTGAATATTTATACATCCTTAGGACCTAAAGAACTGGTAAAATGGAGAGGGCAGACGTGTAATTTTATGTAATTGGCCTGACTGAATGCATTAAAAGCAGCAAATTATTGCAAGTGCTCAGTGTTGGGTGGTTTTGGCCGATACCTGAATGGCAGAGCCTCGGGAATAAGGATGGACATCTTCAGCAGCAATGCAGGTGTTGATGCAGCCAACAGGTGCTCAGTGTGTGTTTAGAGATATTTAATCTCAATTTCTCCAGGTCTTTGTTCAGCTCTCACTCCAGCCTGCTTCTCCCCTGTCAATCCCAGCGATGTTTCAGGGGGGTTTCGTCGCTCTGAGCAGCACCACCAGTACCTGCAGCATGGAAAAACACAACAACCCGCAGCCTTGCTGTGAAATTAGCCTGACCCATGGCTGGTTCCCACCTCATCTGGGATAATTCTGCCTTCCTGGAGCCAGGGAAGATGCCAAGGCCTGAGGCTGGTGCACGCAGGTGGCAGCAGCAGGAGCCTGCAGGGAGCTCAGACCCCAAAATGCGTGTGAGCAAACAGAACTACGTGCCAAGGGCTCTGCTGGGAATGCCAACAGCTCTCTCTGCACAAGAAAAGCTCCATTTCCGACAAAGACAAAAATAAAAAATAAAAGCAAGCTATTTTTTTAAGGTGTAAATCTCTGTGGCTGCTCTTCTCATGGGCAGGGAGAGCTGGAGCCTGGCGCTGCATCGTTCCCCTTCCTCCCTCCCGGGCAGTGTTTGGGTGCCTGCTCATCAGCGAGCTCATTTCCTCATGATTCCATCACTAATTAATCCCTTCTGCAGCAGTGGTGGAGCAGGAATGTCACGAAAAGGATGCGGCACAACCCAGAGAGGAACAGGAGCCATCACCACCAGCCCCTGCACCAAAATCTGCTGCCCTGAGGTGCCAGGGAAGAGTGACAGCCCAATTTCAGCTGAAATCTGAGCCCTTCTGGATCATCACTAAGCAGTCAGTTTATTTTCAGTGAATAATTAGCAAATAAACTTATCCCAGATCTAACCTGTGTTGCTTTCCTTCCAAAAAAGCAGAGTAAGATGCCCATATAGGAACTCACTGCTTGAAAGTACTGGCACAAGGCTTTTTTCTCTTCAATTTTCTCACTTTTTTGAAGCTCAGGCTTTGATTGCCCAAGATTTAAAGCCTTCAGTCTGCTGTTTAACTTGACTGAGACTACAGAAATTCAAAATTCTTCTTTTTAGAGCCTTCAGGCTATAGAGAATAACTTTTCGTGCACATAATTCCAAAATAATGTGAGCTCAGTGAAGTGACTTGGATTTTCATCACTTTCCCTGAGACCAGAATTTCCTCCTCTCTCTCTCTCTGAGCAAACAAGTGATGAATATTTTCCAACAAAACATCATGAATTAAAGCACACAACAATTAAAAATAGTTTTAGTGACAGCTCCCTGACACAGAGGAAGACTGCATTGAGGGGGGAAGAAAAGAAGATATTTAGCATTGTTGGCTGCTATTCAGACACTTCCAGCCATTCAAATCCATGAAACCAAACCCAAATTATATCTGGATTTCAGCTGGAGACGCATGAGACTGAGCAGTACCAATTAGGACACACGGGATGAGAATCTCCCAGTGACAATACTGGGAAAAACCCTTCCAGTTGCTCCAGTTTCCAACCAAGCCTAAGACTTGATCCCTGCATGGAGGAAAACTTAGGATACAATTCCCAAAGACACATGGAGTTGGCTGTAAAAGAAAACTGGGATCTTAGAGTAAACCAAATTTTTTCCTCACCACAGAACAGTGAAGGGAACAGCAGAGAAATCCAAAGGGCCCATCCAAGCTAAACTTTCCAGCACAAATCCACCTTTGATCTCCTGGCTGAGCATTTGGCCCTGGCCTGGTGGTGGCAGGGCTCCCACTGCCTCGGAGAGCCAGGACTGCATCCAGCCCTTCCGAGGGAATCGTGTGTAAACATTTCCACAGCCCTCCTGGCTGCCTGTCAGGCAGCTCGTTAGCAAACTCCTGCAGACCCACACTGACATTTGGAGGGTTTATCCATTAGAAAAACAAAACCTCCCCTGAAAGCCCGTTCAAAGTGCAAAGGTACGAGACTTGATCAAAACAGGACTGGATCACAAAATTCTCCCTGAAGAAAATGAACGCTAGAGGTCAATCTAACAACTTGTCCCGGAAATATATATCCCTGGAATAAAATATTACAGACTGCTGTGTGCTGGGCTCTAACTACCTCCAGACCCATTGGCTCAGCCCACATCTAACAAGGGTTTCCTCTGTCCTGTTGGATTTGCTCTTGTCTCGCTCTCCATTAGCGTTTCCTCTCTGGAACTCTCCCACACGGTCGCTGTCCCGAGTCACAGAGC